CAATCCATGGTAGCACTGATTCATACATCCCCACTTCCAGGATTACTTGACATCTAAAAAGCATCTGAGTTGGAGTTTAGACAGCCTGATAATTATGATGAGTTTGATATCTTAGCATTTGGCTACTCCATTTTCTGACTTTTAAGCAGTTCCACAGAAGTACACTTTAACTACCTGAATATTCTTCCCACTTTTTTTTCTTCTTTTTTTTCCATTTGCACAGTACCTACGTCTGGGAAAGAACGTAACCTGTGCACCAGATGTGCTATGTAGAAACTTCTGCCTGCCCTTCAGCCACAGCATGTGTGCCTCCACGGGGTCCAACCCACCTCCACCCAAATGAGAAACATATGGAGCACCGTGAATGGCAGAAACAAGACTTTGCTTTGAACTACATTCCTCCTGTCAAAGGGCCCTCTGTCTTGCCTTCTTCTTCTCCATTCCTCTGGGTAATCACAAGGAAAAAACTGAACATTTGGAAAAGCCTCCTGGGGACAAATTCATTTCTAGTGTAACTCTGCTGAAGTTAATGGTGTTGCACCATGGATTAAAATGGCACCATAATATTAAAAAACAGAGACAGCATACTACTCTGTAATTACTGTCTAAGAGAGCAAAAATAATAAAAATGATTCATTCTTATAGACCCCAAAGGGCACAGCTGGCTTAGTCAGTTTAAAAGGTGAAAATAAAAGAAGGCAGCTAGAATGTAGTGATTTTTAATTTGTATATATGTATATAGATATTTATAAATGACAGTCAGATAACACCACCTCTGCACTAATTTTAAGAACAATATGCTAGAAATATCATTTAATATGACTGTGAGTTTTACAAGACTGATAACAGAAATAGCTCTGAGGAAAATTAAATGCCTTCTTTCATACTGGCATAAATTAGGAATAAATTCCTTCTAATCAAGTGTTACACTGTTGTAAGCTTAATGCAAAGGAATTGGGCCCCACAGCACCAAAACCGTTATTCTGTAACACAATCAAGCACCAGGAATTGCATTTTCCCCTTTTTAAAAAAGGACAATGTTGGGTTTTTAGGCAGTTAACATTTAAAGGTCATTGTTACGGGAAGGAAACATTTCTTGTATTAAGTTTAGTGAAGTTGGTAGAAACAGTGCAGTCTGTTCCTTTATGGAGTTCACTTTACAATACCATATGGAGGTGTGCGAAAGACACTCTGAAGCTTGGCAATATTGTACAATATAACGGCAAAGGCAAGGCAGAGATCTGACAGAATAACTGCACGGGCTTCAGAGGCATTTGTCAGTAACAGCTGTTACATCTCTGTCTTTCTTGTTATTTAAGTGAGCTTCATCTAGGCAATAATCCTTTCCAGCCAAAGGAATAATAAATACCCCGTGATGAGAACTGATCTTTGGAGCACAGGAGGTCCTAGAGGAAGAGCACAACTCCCAATATCTCTGCAGATTGGCTAAAGAGTACCTCTGCTTACCTATCTCTCAGTCCAATGAATGATCTAGCAAATAGTTTGCAGTCATTAGTTACTCAGATGTCCCCTGGTGGTCTTACAGCCTCTTGTGCCCACAGAAACACAGCTTTCCTTTAGCCTGTAATCAATAACAAGGCTTCCACGCTCGCCCTTTGTACCTGCAGTTAGCCAGAACACAAAGTCTTGTTCTCTCTAGCAGTGCCAGACATCACCATTTCCTTGAATAAATTATCTGGGGAAATCGGGTTTCGTTGCACAAACAAACTAGGCTTTCAGTTACACTGTAACTGAGACACTGAAAAAAGAATGAGGGGAGAGGGAAATTGGCTGACAGGAAATCACTGAGCAGGTTCAGCAAGCTAAGAAAAAAAATCAGAGTTTTGAAGATAAATACGTTTTCACTGAAATATTATCTGATACATTATTTTGTTATTAAAAAAACCCAGCAGGAGCCATAACAATCTATGGAGGTTTCTCTGCTTATTCGTTTATAGATTAATATTCCCTTGATCAGACAGGCCCCAATTACAAGGTTTGTTAGTTCCTTAGTTGATTTCTCAAGGTAGATATTAACATTGAAGTAAAAGGATCCCTCCTGTTTAAAGATATAGAAATGCACAAAATATGTAGTTCTCCCTTTCTCCTGCTACCGAGATACATGTTGACTTTTCATTAAAAATGCCACAGCTGTCAACCTCTACTGAGATAAAGCAACGAAACTAGTCATAAAGAAATGGGAAATTGAAAAAAAAAACCAAGATTTTAAACAAATAAAACTTGAATAATGTTTTCCTTTTGCTTCTTGGTACAGGCTGGTTATCATGTACAGCAGACTTACTTCTTTTCCCAAGAAGTGACCATAATAACAAGGGCTAGAAATTAATTTTCAAATGAAAGTTGAGTATAATGAAAACACATGAGTCCAGAAGCTGCAGATTTATGTAAAACATCAAATACAAAGTCTTGTGACAGAACAGTAAGAGTTATGAAGACTAAATAATTATAAAAAGAACCATCATTTTCCATTGTTTCAAGGCAAACAAGATTTTGCTAGTTTTAGTGTATATTCCTTTGTTCAGTCAGGAAGATCCCTCTACAAAAGCTCCATTAATTTCCGATAGGCTAAAAGGAACAACTCTTAGTTTAAAACTTAGAAGATAAGACTTCATCTAACAGCACATTATTTAACATAATGAAATTCCCAGGAAAAACAAAGCAAACCCTTTGAGGCTTTATCACACTACAGTAGACTTCAGAGATGCTGATTACGAGATTGTGTTTGTACAAAACCAACACATTAATTACCCAGAGAGCCTTGAAGTGAGCAGAAAGATTGCAAGAGTGGATTATCAAGTCCTCAGCCTTGACAACACTTGGAGCTAGACCTTTTAAGTACTTGGGCACCTACTATGTAGCTATGTGCCACGTGAGGCATTTAGTGGGTGTTGAAAGTCCTACTCAGTGACAATATTCACTTCTGAGTGCCTTTATTCCTTTTAAAATCACCTGTCACTTTGGGTTTTTTACATGCAGTTTGAACTTCAGTATAACATCTATGAGAAATCTTAGGGTATTGCCTCCTGGATCATGATCTCCTTCATGATGTTATAACCCATAGCAGGCATAAAGACATGTCATGAAAAAAGATCCAACGCACAAGCATCATATATAAATATATATGATATATATATAATTATGTACCACTGATTTAGCCATTCCCTGCAAGTGTTTTTCTATGCGGAATATGCTGATGAGAGCACCTTAGCAAAACTGTAATTTGTGAAGTACGTGGCTCACAGCATTTACAAGGGGCCCATGCCTTCAACAGAACTGATGTATATGCTTAGATTATGTATATGCTTAAATGTACGGATGACTTGAGTCTATAATTAAAAGTTTAATACTAAATTAAGTTTGGTCTTTTAATGAAAAATGTCACCCATGAAACAGCAGACTAGAGCCTCAAAAGACCCAAATATCTCCCTTTTATTAAGAATCATCTCATTATTTTTATACATGAAATCCTCTGTAGACACACCTGAAACTGCAATATCCTGTGGTCAAAATGAAACATGCCTGGGGAAGAAATAAAATCCTACTTACTTCTGCCCATTTTAAAAGGGCAGTCAGTAGAACAGGGATTATATGGGGAAAACTTAAGCTAAAATATATTATTTTTCAGCCTCAATGACAATTTGTTTGGCTTAGAACTAGCTATCCAGGCTAAGGTATTTGCATTAGACTGTTTGGATTGAGGTCATAATTTCTATTCTGCAAGTGACAACACACTCCTGCTATAGGTCACGCAGGACAGCAGACTGTAATTATTGCTGTTTATATCAAACAAAGGGCACTTATTCTAGTCTAATATTTTTGGAGAATTGGATGCTGCTGTCGCTGGGGTGTTTTGTTTCAAGTGAGGTACTCAATTTTCAGTCTCTATGCTTTGCTAGTGCCTGTGAGCGATAGAGTCTCTAGTAGGGCTTACAAAAAAACCATTGCTTTCTGAAGGGGTCCTACAAAATTCCATTTATTATAGACAGCACGAGAGACCATCTAAAAATCGTTGGCTTAGGAGTGGTGGAAGATAGTCAGCAACGCAAAGACGTCAGCGGTGTGGAAACAAGGCAAACGGGGAAACAGGGACACCAACGCTGTTTCTGCTACAGGGAAGTCTTAATGCCACCAGCCGTTCAGAGGAGAGAGGCAACACCACATCCCCATACTGCAAATCCTTTGGGCAGCGAGCTGTTAATAACTGCTGTGGCACTTCATAAATTACTAATAACACCCAGGGTCGCAGAATTACAGGAGGGGAGGTGCAGTTCCCCGCCTCTAGCTATTGGAAGTGCACAGGACCTCGTTCCGGGAGCTTTGATGCTCACACACCACTTCACGTGTTTTAAAGGTGACAGGACTAACCACCATCTACAGCACCAGGTGGGAGCGTAAATATGTCGCTGAAGCAGATGCCAAAACGGGATTATTTTGGTTTACGCATAATTATTTAGCTGCCAAAAAGGCTTCATGTCATCCTACTTTCCTCACGCAGTAGTCAACACATCTCTAAGCTTTTTTTACGCCTGAAATACACTGAAATCGCATTATCAACAGCCACAGGGCTACGGCTGTAGGCGCCACGCTGGCTTTGCACTTTTCAGCTGCACCTTCCTGTTAAAATCCAAATATTTCAGGTATCACCTCCTTAAAACCTGCGCAGGAGCCAAGGAAAGCGCCCCGCACATCTCAATCCTATTTATGTCAACGTGCTTTGTATCAAATCCTAATCGGTGGGAATCAGTCCTTCCCCCCCGGCGGGCTTTCCCCCGCCGCCCGGGCGCCGCGGCCTCAGGCCGCCGACCCCTCTGGGGGCCCCGGGG